CGGATCGTCATGGAGCATACCGAGGTACGAATCTTCCATGTTTATCGTTTGATTGCCGCGCAAATATAAATTTAATTTTGGCGGGCTTCGGACTGAACTACTTCGACTAAAAATAGAGATAAAATTTTCTTGATTGACATTTTCCTTCAAATCATGGCGTGTAAATTGACAAATCTGTCAGATTTCACGCCTGACAAAAATTTGTCCTGCTCCGAGGCTGGACGACGGCGTCTTTGAAGTTTGGTAAGCCTTGACAAAATTTGGTAGATCTAAAAATCACCGGACGCACATGTCTCAGGGAATTGATGACAGATTTTTTCGCAAAATAAACAAAAATTTGCCCAGTGCGTCCGGGCCCTATGAAAAGGATGATAACACTTCGAATTACTAAAAACGAGGAAATCTACATAAACACAATATGCATATCTTGACCTCCGAGTATCAATATGACTACATAACGTGCCTCCTTTGCCTCATCTTCAGTATTTTAAAGTTTAAACTAAGACCCCGGAAATCATTCTGAGTTAACGGCCCCAGTTTTCCAAAATCAGGGTATTTTTTCAACTCTCTATCTCTGAAACGAAGTCAGTGATCCACAATGTTTTTTTTTTAATACTTCTGACACAAGTAACTCATTATCTAACTAGGGAAAAAGTTTGAAAAAAAACTCTATATATTAGCAACGTTTCCCGCGAATTTCGTTGTAATATGACAACATAGGTCATTCAAGCTTTGCGTATAAAGAACACGAATTAATCTAGGGAAGATCATCCCAAGGAACCCACGCTCCCCCGTGGTATTTAGGATTAGCCCTGGGGTCCATATGCTTATTCCTGGGGGAACCGCTGGAGTTCCTGTATTCTTCTAACTTGGCTAACAACTTCTGAACCGAGTCGCAGGGATCTTGTTCAATATCAAACGGACAGGGTCCTGAGGACTTGCTGCAGTCAGGTGCGGTACTGGGGCATCGCCGCACGTGACCACGGCGTTTTTTAACGTTCTGTTGGACAAATTCGACTGTTCGTATTCTGACGGCGGGTACCATCCATTCCAGCCTTTGCCTGCGAAGCAAGGTGTCACTTGTTTTAGTACTAGTTTGGAAAGACACTCGAGAGACGTGGGGTGAGTTAACTCCAGTACAAAGGCCAACTGACTGACTTACCATGACTGACTGCCTGCCTACCTGCCTGCCTGACGGACTGACGTGGTGGCTGACTGACTGACTGACTTATTGCTTGATTCAATAGTTGATTACGTTTTAGATTTATAACCAACTCATTGACTGATTAAATGCTTTATTGATTGGAAGGATTGTCGGATTGATAGACTAACTGAATAATTGATTGATCGATCAATCTACTGATTTCTTAATTGATTGTCATTCCGACCGATTGCAACATTTGCTGATTTGGTTCTTCTCTACCCAGTTCTCTACACTGAGTAATTGATAAAAGACAACTTGTACATAGACAAAGGAAACGTAATTCGATGGCACACGGTATCCTGTTTGATGTTACTT